CCCCCCCCCCCCCCCCCCCGCTCAAGCAGGAGACCCTACACCATTTCTGACAAATGGCAGTCCAATCTCTTCTTGAAAGTCTCAAGTGATGGCGCTCCCACAACTTCCGAGGGCAAGCTGTTCCATTGGTTGATTGTTCTCACTGTCAGAAAGTTTCTCCTTGTTTCCAGGTTAAATCTCTCCTTGTTCAGTTTCCATCCATTATTCCTTGTCTGGCCTACAGGTGCTTTAGAAAATAGCTTGACCCCCTTCCTCCCTGTGGCAGCCCCTCAAATATTGAAATTGGATTTGACACCCCTGATCTAGAGCTAAGAGAGGCAAAAGCTTTGATAGTGTGTCCCTTTTTCTCTCTGTTCAATTGTTATACCAACAAGTCTCCTCATGATTGGTATATCAACCTTCCTATTCCATATCCAATAATTTATCTGTAGTAGAAGACACATTCTGTTCCTGATTCAGAAAAAAAACGACTTATTTTTATCTTTCTTTTTCAGTAGAAAGCTTTTTCAAACAATGTCGAATTGATCAGCAGAATGCAACTGGGAGCAAATGTATATCAAAGCTCTTTCTTAAGAGCGGAGGCTTAACTGCACTTCCTTTTTATTGTTTCACTGTAACTTTTGGGGCACCTTCATCATTTCTTCTAGAAGTTTGTGGCTTCCTCAAAGCATATTTTGAAAGCCCATAGGGAGGTAGAAGGGGGATGTTTATCTTCATTTATTCATATGATTTAGATAAATAATAGGAGGCAGTTGTGTTGGGTCCTGATTAGGGACCAAACTTGGTAAAATGTCACACATTCCAAATTTATGCAATCCCTCTTGTAGAATCTCTGCATAGAAAATGCCTGCATTGCTGCTCATGACAAAAGAGGAAGATTTGGTACTTTGTTTGCTATGGACAAGATGCTAAGTCCCCCTATGGGAACTGTTATGGATATACTCAAAGCAGATGATCGCTTCAGGTAATAGTTTTCCTTCTTACTATTATTGTACAAGCAGTAGAGTAGGAAAAACAGTTTTGCTTCTGTAAGGATTGTTTGGAGAAGCTAATTGTTTCTATTTAAAACATACAAATATATATATGTATGGTATTCAGCTTTGTTCGGGTATTTTCCCAGGTCATTGTAGTTGTGCTTTTAAAGTTGTAGCAACGTTTCGGCAGAATCTCATCTCCCATCATCAGGCTTCTGTATA